CCCCCTATGGCAATGGCGTAATCGGTGATATTCAGGCGCATCACACTCGCGCGCGCGCGCACGCATCCACGAGCGCGAAAGGGTTGAACCGTGTAGGCGGATTTCGCCAAGTGTGTGAATATATATCCGCTAAGATAATAAACAACCGTGCGGGAGCATCACGGCTATCTGCGCGGCTGCGGCGACGGCGACTTGATCGAGAAGAGAGAGAGAGAGAGAGAGAGAGAGAGAGAGAGAGAGAGAGAGAGAGAAGAGATACCGGCCGCGCTCTGGTGCAAAGCGCTTTTAATAACTGGTTTCGCGATATCCTGCTTGCGCCGGCAGCTTCGGCGTAAATATCTGATGCACTTTGCCAGGCGAATTATGCATTTTGTTTTCCTCCTTTCTAACACCCTGCCGATCGATCCCGCGGCTCTACCGTTTATTATGCACGTCCACGTAATCAATTCACCCCTCCGTCCGAAAATTTAATTAATTAAGCTATATCTAACTGACAAAAAGAGAGGAAAAGATAGAGAGAGAGAGAGAGAGAGGGGGGGAGAGAGAGAGGGAGAGGGAGGAAAGGAGGCAGGGAGTAGAGAGAGAGAGAGAGAGAGAGAGAGTCGTAGGAAATTATTGTAAGGAAATTGCACGAAGATGATGATTACAAGATGCTAGGTGTGATTTTTCAAGTATAAACTGATTTTTTCATTAAATTTTATTATCACCCAATAAGAAAATGTAATCCTATCTTATCTTAGCGGAATCCTTTTTCACGTGACCTCAAGATTCTCCTAAGACTAAAAGGAAAATTTTCCTCGCACAGTATTCATAATATTACAGGAATTTCGTCTTTTGTCTACGGTATAAGTTTTGTTCTTAATAGAAATCTCTTCTGGTAAAAGGGAATTTCTGCTTCAAGTAAACATTTCCTTTTGATTGAAGAGGAAATTAGTTCGAACAAGATCTAATAGATTTCCGATTAATAATTCACTTCAGCAGAAGAGGAATAGTCTTTTGCTAAGAGTTTTCGCGTAGAATACAGAATTATAGGAAATAGCATCTTGCAACTCTTTCTTTGGAATATCTTCCTTTTGGTTTCAGAAAAATCTCCTTTTGAGGCTATACGTAAAAAGATTTCGCTAAGAGTAAGATTGTATTTTTTTAAATGTGAGATAAACGCGAATCTACGAATGTTTCGGAGTTTCAGCCCTTATATACACGAAGAAAATATAGTTGCAAAAATTGCAACAAAATTTTTTAAATCTCGGACCGTGCAGAGAATTATTATTATATATTTGTTTAAAAATATTATGTACGTTTGACTTTTTACAATAAAATTATTGCAAACGCTTGAATATTTTTTTACACCGTTTATCAGATAAATCGTCAAATTTTTACCATCACTATAGTGTTGTATATCATAATTTCAGTATAGCGCAATTTTACGAAAAACATTGCGAAGAGAAATATAATCTCGACGTAATTCTAACTACAAAATTTTCTTCCCGTATATCTCCGTAATTTATCGCGCTATGTAATCAATAAGGATGTAAGTGCAGTTTAATTTGAGTAATTTTGTATTGACGATGCTTCCGGGAAAATTATACGACGCCTAACAGGAAACGTCACAAACATCCGTATTTTCGCATCCGCGTTATCTTTAGTCATCTTACGACTCAGCCGTCGCACAACTTCAAACACATTCTATCGCTTAATCTGCTAGTCACAAGCAACTGATTTACATGCCGCAGCGCCCCGACTAAAAATCATTAATTAGCAAGACACTCGTGCTTATAAATCATCATACGTGATAGCGATCGTGCGTCGCGCGATTATCATTTTTGCGGCTTTGGGTTTAGCCGGCGGCGGATTACGTAAGCGTAATTGTCAATTATTGCAGATCAAAATGCAGCGGAGGCGCGAACAAAGGCGACAAAGCGATACTTCATCCTAGCTCGGCTCCTAAGCGGCAATTATCCAATAAATAATACCGCACTCGCTACGTGCACTCGTTAGTAAACTTGGCCGTGCAATTGTCGGCCTGCTCGAGCCCGCGTCGAATTGAAGCGATTAATCGTTCACGGAAATTGTTCATTAGAGGCGGACGCCCGCGTTTGTTGACTCTCGACAGAATGGCAATTGATACGAACACATAATTATTGTATAGTTGTCTCGCCAACGGCCGATAGATTGATTTACGGAAAGCGAGAAAATTCAGTAAATCCGGCGGGAGTCTAATACGATAATGGCCGTATTAATAGTCGTTATTTGAAATTTGTTTCAGATGAGATACTCAGATTTTTATTCAGAGTCAGGTCCAAGTTTTTCAGTTGAATGACGACAAACATGACATTTACATCTGTAGTTAAGATTCAATAAAAAATCTCTCATCTAACTCTGAATTGAAGTCTGAGTATCTCACTTGAGACGAGTTTCAAGTAGTGATTATTATTACAGACCTACACTGAGGGAAAAATTATAAAATCAATAAATATTTTTTTTATAGGTGCCATTAACATATTTATTTAAATCTACATTCTCTTTACTTAAATCAAATATTGTTTACCTTATTTAAGTAAACAATATTTGATTTAAATAAATAAAATTTAGATTTAAATAAATATGTTAATGGCACCCATCAAAGAAATATTTGTTGATTTTAAGGTAATTTTTCTCTCAGTGTATGGTTTGTATAATTAGTCATTACTTGAAACTTGCCTCAAGTGAGATATGTAGATTTGAATTTCGATAGATGTGAGCTTCTTAACTGAATCACGATTACAAATGTACAATGTCGTATATATTACATAATTGAAATAAGAAAATCAGATTTAATACTGAAATCATCTGAGTATCTTATGTAGGACAAGCTTCAAGTAACGATTGTTGATATTTCTGCGATAATCAAAGTACAGTCGAGAAGAGATAATTGCACCTTAACAAATAAATAGTAATAAGCATAATGAAATTTTATCAATCCAACGAAATATTTTTCTGTGTTGAAAATAAAGTTCCATAATGCTTGAGAATTTCCATTTTAATGATTTGACGAAGAATTGAATACTCAGGATCGTATTTACGGACTTTGTATTGTATTTCCGCGGATAACGCGTCGTCGCAAATTGTGTTCCGGGAATACGACCCGTCGCGATAATACTTGAGTCTCTGCAGCAAAAAAGAAATGCTCATTCTCTCGATTATCTCGATGTATATTCCGTCGCGAGAATGAAATCGAGAGTTAGTCCGGAATCACATTGTTTCCCCGGGAATCTCATTTCGCAAGCGCTTAGACTACTTTACTGATTAACCAGGGCGGGGCATGCGATCGCAGGTGACACGCAAAAAATGCCGCTAAATCTTTGTTCAGCTGGAAGGCTGCGGCGTAAAGATGGGTCAACCTTTCGCCTTGCGATTATGTAAGACCTCGGACTGACTGACCTTTAGGTTCGTTCATGGCATGCGGCATTTACGTAATTTACCGATTACGATGTATTAGAGTCTTCTTCTTCTTCTTCTGCGCCTGGAGAATAATTCTCCTTCTAACGCTAATATAATGTATTTTCGAATGTACGTCGCGCACGTGCACCAGATTATACCAGATTACGGCACGCTCGACTCGCGATTGACGTATCGAACGTCTCCGCGTCAACAATTGACGCAATAATCTTTCACGTAAATCTTTTTTCTTCTTTCTGCTTTTTCTTGGTATACGCGCGCAGAGAAATCGATTTTCTTACGAGAAAACATATGGAGGTGTCTCTCGTCGGTTCTTATATAAAGTTATAAGAAGCACATGAAATAGCAAAAAACTTTTCTTGGAAATATTTTGGTCGAGTTTTTTAATTCATCGATAAATTCATCGCATGATGCGCAAATGCAACGTTTCGCTGTATTTACGCATCATGCGATGGATCCATCGATGAATTAAAAAACTCGCCTTTTCTCATTTACTTCGTTTGCTTTCGAAAATATTCGACGGATTGTTTCATGTCCTAAATGTGAGAAAGCGTGTGTATATATATATATATATATATATATATATATATATATATATATAAAATATATATGTATCTATTACTTTTAACTGTTTTCCAACATATTCAATGCCCGTCAAAATCGGTGAGAGACAGCTCCATACGTTTCTTTGTTGGATCTCCTCTCAGAGAGACGGATGAAGAATGGAAAGTGGATCTCGATGATAATAGCGGCGTAAATCATGGCTGAGCGAACGCTACGTTATTCTATTTATAAGCGTTTATAGACGTTATTTATAGACCGTCCGATTGAAAAACCCGATGTTGCTCTATTTGCGAGATTTCTAATTACTGATTACTTGGAAATATGACGTTTAAACTTTTATCTGTTTGCTGAAAAATAGCTGGAAATTCCACAATCTATTGCGAAACGATATTTAACCGTTAATGATGCTATCAATATATATCGTGTATATTCAACGAATTAGGGCATATTTACGTATAATTATTCCAATGCTTCGTTGATTAATTAAGGCCGAGTTTAAAATTTGCGCTCTTGATCAATGCCGCCGCGACATTTTAACAAAAATCTACATGGAGAGAATATTAAAGTTTCTTTTCTATTTTCATACAAATTCCTTTCAATTTATTTTTTTTATAGGCCAGAAATAGAGACTGTCAGTAAAGTCTGTCTTGTTAAGGAACATAGTAAATTTCGTTAGAAACATAGCAAATGTTTTAATAATTCAGTTTTTAAAATACAAGTAGCATATATGAGATAAAAAAGGATAGTGAATTATGATGTCGACGTGCAGAATGTCGATCTATTGCTCGATTACAAAATCCTGTAGCAATTCTTACTATAAAATTCTCTCCGTGTACGAAGCAAAAAGCTTCTCGCTGAAATCAAACAATCGAAGTTCCAAAACACTCAGTATAAAGTTTCATTATCAAAACGCGTAACCGCACTACACTTTTTTTTCCTTGACTACAGCGTCATCTGCAGCTATAGCTACCATTATCGACCACGTAAAGCCGCTCACAACGACCCGCATTACCGACCGGTACGACCACCAACGTGCACACGCTTAAGAGCGCGTTTTGCGCACTACGTATGGGCCGCGTTATTGCAATTAGTGCTGAATGTCACTGCGCGAGTTTACAGATAACAGGTGTCAATAATAATCACTGAGCAACCGCACGTACTAAAGGATGTTGGAGTCGACTATTCAAGCGTTAGCAAGTGGCAGAGTAATTCTAGCCAGTGGTTCCCCAAGGCGACATGATATAATGAAATTTTTGGTAAACAATACGATTGTATGAATAATTTCAATCGTGAATATGTCTATACAAAATAAATTACGTAACAGTATGACTGTATTGATGGATACTGATCATTGGAGTAAGTTAAGAACATAATTAACATGTGTCAACATTCATGATTCAGCGAATAAATGCAGAAATAGTGCCTTCTCTATATGATGAGAAACTTGATAGATCTGAATACAACAATCACCATGGGGAATATGTTCAAGATATAGCCAAGTACAAGGTCCTTGAGGTGTATGAACGACTGAAGGCAGATCCAGTGCCACCGTCACTGATAATTGGAGCTGATACAATGGTAACGATGGGTAATGTTGTTTATGGCAAGCCACATGATGAGGTGGAGGCCTTTCAAATATTATCTAGGTAATAATTTGTAACAAGCTGTACTCACCAGGTAAACATAATAATAACCGATGTTCTCCCTCAGTCTGGTGAATAAGCAGCATGTCGTGTACACTGGTGTGTGCTTAAAGACACCGCAGAGCCAAGTCCAGTTTTATGAGTCGACAAAGGTGAAATTTGGAGATATATCTGAGAAGCAAATAAGAGAGTACATAAAAACAGGTGATCCCATGTGAGTAACATGCTGTTGACAGTGGGAATAACGCTGTCTTTATTTGTTAGAAAGCAAAAGTTTGTTTCAGGGATAAAGCAGGGGGATATGGATTCCAAGGGGTTGGGGGCTGTTTGATAGAGAAGATAGATGGTGATTATTATACTGTAACGGGCCTGCCGATGTATGCACTGTCCAGGCGACTGGATCAGATGTTTTCTGTTGATGTTCAATGAGAGCATTGTGTTGAGCATGACAGTACCCTGAAGGACAACTATTGTACTATCGTTTCTACGTGAATAAATGTTTTCACGCTAAAACCCACGGAAATTCACGAATTCCTCCCCATGTGTGCGTACGTGTATGTGTGTATTCAATGGTCCGACATTCCGGTATAATGGGCGTATTTGAGCGCGTGTTTATCGATATCGCGTTCATTAACATTCATTATCATACCGCGTGCGGTCAAAGACACAAAGCGAGCCATCTCTATCGAGATCATAATGAAATTATTCAATATAGAAATTCTCGTTCTCACTTTTTCCCCGTTCGCTCAAATCTGTGTGAAAACATCCCCGCGATTCATTTCAACGAGATCGATAAAGGCGTGTGTAACATTGGCGAACGTTTCGGCACACTTGATCCGCTATAAATTCGCGCCTCGTTATCTCCAAAAATATTCCTCTTCCGAGATTACCCGGTCTAGTGGCATGTCAGGACGACGATATTTTATATAGGAACGATGATATACTCACCAGAGAATGCATCTTTGATTCCAAAAGGACGAGGGACGATCTGTCTCGCACCAACGACGGCGGTTGAAAAGGCTGTTCAATATGTCGGACGGAGATATATCGAAATATATCGAAGTGACATGAATGTTGCTGCATGTGAAAAATGGTCAGTGGTCAGTCGGAGATGAAGATAAGTTGATGAAATATGTCGTCAAGAAAACTCTAATTTCGCGGCTAAATTAATATTTCCTCGCTTAAAGCGCGTCTTCGAAATCGTGAGAATCGCGAGGAGTCGCGGAAATCTCGCGAAAATCTCGGGTCTGTTTTCTATTGCTGCATTGCTGAACTGGTGCAATAAGTTGGAGTGAGAAAATGTATATGGTAGTCTCACTTTAACTTATTGCACCAGTTCAGTAGTGCGGCAACAGAAAACAGACTCTTCATCTCTATTCTTGCCGGTTGGCGACACCTATAAAATTCATAAATGGCGCCATCTCACAAAGTGATCACGGGGCCATGAGAGTTTCGCGTCTTGCATCTCGCTCTTCTTTCGTGAAACGTCAAAACGTTCAGTGATGCACCTGTAACCTGTACCACCTCAGGCGCATTCACGGTTACCCAGTGTATGTGTAGTAGTTAGTTCCGAGTCGACTACGCGGTTCCGGTTACGTGCGTTTATCCGAGAAGATGGAAGACGTTTTAAACGAGGTCGTTTCCGCCGAGGATCTAAAGGTAACCGCAGCCTATGTCTCCGTGTCGCCAACATCGTCCACGTTTCGTCACGCTTTTCGTCGTGAACTTGCAACCTTGATCGAAAAGCGACGATAACGACGTGAACTCAGAGTTAGGTTAGGTTAGGTTATCATCCGGGCTTTCTCAGATTTTATTTACTTCAGCGATGTGCATTCATTCGTATCGTCTTCCGATATGTCGCAAACATTTCCGAAGAACAATTTATCGTCAATAAATGTGGATTTTTGCGGGCTTCGGAAATTATCATTCTATTATTCAGCAAATTGAGTGCGGGAGAACGTCATCGTGACGTTTCATTAGGAGTAATCTGCGTTGCAGAGTTTATTCTTGGAATATATTATAATTGATTTGTTTTGCAAACTCGTGTTTTTTTGCGGAAATCCGGTCGATCGATGTGGCGATCTCGTCGGCTCGTAACGTGAACATTACGTCATCTCTTGTAACTCGGTCGTATTGCGTTTCAGAAATTTGAACGCTTGTATCACGAGCAATTGTACTCGGCGGATGTTTCACAAAAAGCACAATTCGAGTACGCCTGGTGCCTTGTGAGAAGTAAATATTCGGCCGACATTAGGAAAGGAATACTGCTACTAGAAGATCTCTATAGCAAGCAGACAGGTAGCGAAAGACGTGATTGTCTTTATTACTTGGCCATTGGAAATGCTAGAATAAAGGTAAGACGCGTGCAAGATAACCTGTGCATCAAGTGTTCAATTAGTAGGAGAAGAATCATGGATCGTTGCTTCTTTCCAGGAATACACAAAAGCACTGTCCTATGTCAGAGCGTTCCTTCAGGTCGAGCCTGGTAACATACAAGTACAGCAATTGGAGACATTAATCAGGAAGAAGATGGAAAAAGGTTTCCCTTTCATAATTTATTATCGGCTTAAGAGAATAAAAGTCATAATTTGCTTAGGCGCATTGTCCCTGAGAGGTCTCTGTGACATTCTCATGCAGTCGTATTACTTTTGGTTGCTGCTAATAGCCCTGTTGTTTTCCTGGGTTGCTAAATTCTACATTGATTCCACTTAATAAGCTTGTGTCTTTCCAATTTGTGCTAACTCTCTTGAAGGGACTTTGCTGTCGGTCTTGAAGGGATAACAAATATACATTGCATGCTTCTGCAATAGCCTCATAACATAACCTCTTCCATGACTTTCTTCAAGTTTCTTATCTTCTCAACTAGCTATTGGTTCATCTATTGATTCCTTTGTTTCTTCTCTGTGATAGCGAAGTGCAAAATATGGCTATATTTTAATACGTAAACTAAATGGATTCAGTAGCTTTGTGTCGCTGGTCATTTTCTTTTTCTCATCGCTGTATCTCTTTGCTGTCCATCTATTTGTACCATTTCCTCTGTACATTCTGTATAAACAAGTAATAAAAGTTTATATCGATTATATGAAAGACCTATTTAATATCTTCATGTTGGTCAGTTCCCTTTGTTATTGATCGAGTCTTGTGTTACTGCAACACAAATCATTATTACACCAACTAATTCACGTGATTCTGTATCTACTAACCCAGCTAGAATTTCGAATAACACTTCTGAGAAGCTTAGCGATTCAGTGATTGGAATTGGCGTTGAATCTCGTTTGTTTCTTTTTTTTGCAGAGGGTCTTCTCGGTATGGCTGTCGCGGGAGGCGTTATTATCGGTATCGCAAGTATCGTGGGCCTGGGCATCGCGATGGCAAAAAAAAATTAATTGTCCGTGAAAGAGTTGAGCATAATAATGTCGGTGTGATTGTGATCGTAGTTTGTTCGCGCGAAGTGGTGTGATTTAGCTTGTAATGACCCGTTTGACAGACTGACGAGTCTGAAACGGGAGTAACATGTAAATGCGCCAGGACCTCGACCAAATCCAAAGAATGCAATGTCTGTGACATCGACGTTGATGTATTGCCTTTGTAACGTTCATAAACAAAAGACAGAGAGAGCTGAGAAAAAAAAAAAAGGAAAAGCCGATAGCGAAACAACAATGATCCACTTGTAGACTAGACGCTTACAATATTATTTGGTGAATCATTTTGAATATATCGTCTGAATCGTTATTACTCGTCTAATACGTATGTGTCTACATACCGTGTGCCCTCGTATCCGCTCCAGGTTCGATTTGATCCTCGATAAAGTTTGAGTTTTATTTTTGAGTCGATACGTTTTACTCTAGGTCGATACATTCCGATGATTTCTCTCTTCCTTTTGCACGCGTTTTTAAATTAAAACGCTACGGTTATATAACGCTATTTATATGTGACTTTAGTTTAAGTGAGCCACCAAAGCATTACACAGTCACGTTAAATAAAGCATTTGTATATATGGGAAAGTAGTAGGGGGCGATTTGTTTTGTTGCTGGACCTATACTTTTGATAGAAGTCAATGTTCGGAGCCGTGTCGGGCGATGTTCTCACCGCTGCGAATTACGCTGTATGCATGCACAACTTTGCCCGGGAAACCACCGACGATCCTATCGTAACGCAATTATGCAGAATATAGGATGGTGTCCCGCTTTTCATTTGCGGTATCGCGCTGGAATTTATTCACGCGGGAAATTTAGCATAGTTACATCCGTAACAAGTTCCGCGGCTCGATAGTACTTTATAATGTATCCGTGTCTGAGAGTGTGCGACACGTGTAACGCCGACGAGAGTAAAGGGTCCGATGTTCTTCGAGACAGCGCTCGATCGCATTTTCGGAACGCGTTCGGCGCTAAATCATCCGACTGTCCGGCTCGCGTATACGCGTGTTTACAATCCAACGTGATGTTTGTATTACGCAAATGCAGCTGCATTACACCGAATGCTGTGCCATTCGAGGTCTTCTCCCATGTTTACGCGGAATGCGATTTCCATATTAGATAAATGCAACTCTGAATTAGGCACCGCCGTGTCTAGCGTTAAATGCACCGCTAAACACCGCTCGCGAATGTTGACTACCAGTAACTCCGGCAACAAATATTCGACCTCCTGCACGGCGAATATATGAGACCTTTATACGTAATATACGCAAGGTTCACCTGGAACCAGTATTTTCCATGGGGGTTTCCAAAAATAGCAGAAAATATATCAGCCTACATTTAACATCCAGAATTTTGTAATTAAAATAAAGACTGCGTTAAATCTTTTAATCTTATTCTTTCTTCAATAAGTCGACCAAATCGCCTAATTTTCAAGGAAGTAAGGTAAAATACCAATTCCTGGATACGTATCTAATCCTGAATGTTTTTGTCGATTTAGCCTCTCTATATAAACATTAATCTTTTAATATTAAATTTGCCTGGCACAGCCGAATTAAGCTAACAAGTTTATATGTGGGCTAATCATACTGTTTCTCTTATGTGTGCTCACACTGATATAAAATATTTCTCGAATAAAAAGATATACATGATACATAATTTTTAATTAATTACATCATAAATATATACATCCTTAAAACCTTAGCTTTTGATCAAAGCAATTGTTTGTTGTTGTATATTATTTACTTTTTAAATATTTCTTCTCTCAGTGTATTGTATTGAATGATTAAATATTCGTATTTACGGAGACCAAGACCGCAAGAATATCCAGCATCAGATGCGTGTTCGGGTCTTTTGTCTTAAAATTAAACTTGGCAAGGAATACATGAAGGAAACGTGCAACAGGATTCAAATAGTATTCATTTTTTTTATATATAGATTTATTGATGATTTCTTAATATCCGTTGATAAAGTTGTTTATGTACAAAATAACGCTGGAATATCCCTATTAATATTATTATTATTAATTTTATTGTTATTATTAATATTATTATTATTATTAATGATCTATGTTATGGCCCAGGGATTCTCTCTCTCTCCCTCTCGAGAAAGAGAACAGCCCTCTCCCCGCTCGCGCTTCGACGAGTCAGTAGTAATATGTTCGCTTGTGTCCTTCCCTTCCACACCAAAACACGATGGCGATGATGAAACGCTCCACGGCGCGTCGTGCCCTCCCGTTCTCGCCTCCTTCTTCGCCCTCGTTCGCCCGTACACGCGAACAATAATAATATTTACACGCCGTTCATCCCCCTTGTGCGGATCTCGGCACCTCTGGCGGAAAGAGGACGAGGAGAAGGTCCCCGCTCTGATCGCTTGAGAGCGCGATACGACGCATCGTGGACTCATCTTTCTCTTCTCTTTCTTTTTTTTATTTTCTTCTTTATGGTACAGCGCTTAGTAAAGATTCGATAAGTGGGAGAAAATCGAGTATAGGCGATGTATGCGATTTTCGTAAATCGGTCGCCCCGCATCCCGCCGATTCTCCGCCCGAAAAGACCATGGGTAAAGTGAGCTGATTTTTGCTTAAAGAACGTAACGTAAATTGTACATGCAATTTTCTTCCTTAAACACTACGCCGAATACGACGGTAGCATTCATATATATCTGTCTAGATCTGTGGGAAAGTGGTCAAAATTTGCCGCAAAAGGGTTGAAAAATAAGTCACTAATAGTAATTCGATTAGTGACGATTTTGTACACAATTACTTCATTATTCATATCATAGATATGAATATGAGTTTCATAACTTTTTTTTGCTGAAAATTAAGAAAGTGAATACTTGGGAAATGTTAGGTCTAACATAGCGAAATTAATATATGAAAATTAAAAGGGATAAACACTTTTCTTATTCAAGAAATCTCGAGATCCAATAGGATGTCAGCATCTTGATTTTATCCCTTTAAGATGATTTTAGAAATCTTCCTTATAAGAGGTTCTTTAGCTGAATCTCTAGAGTGGCGTGCAACTCCACCGTTAGCCATATTAACGTCCTTAAAAACTGCACAATGTACGCAGGTGCACTGAAATGCACTAAAAAAATTATTTCTGTATCTGGAACCAGAATATTTGGTACATGTAATTTGGTTGGCATTCATGTTTTTTACTTGTGTCAAGTACATGTAGTGTTGAGAAACCAAGACACACATAACGGCAATTAAATTTTTTAGTTGCAATTACTTAAAATTTGGTTGATTTTAACCAAGTTTTTCGACAACAAAATCCTTCTTTCAGAGTGAGACTTGAAATTCTCAAATCTTAAGAGATGAGACTCACGATTCTTAATCCAACAAGCGTAAGGATTGGTCTATAATATTAGGAGTAAGTCGTAAGAATTGGCTATAGCCGATTATTCTTGTAATAATCGACCGTGATTGATCAATTCTTACGGTTTGTAGAACCGAACAGTACGACACCTATTGTAGACCAAGCCTTAGATTGCATGTATAAGGGTCGATTGTTCTAACTTCTTGGTGAGTTACCTGACAGTTCAAATCATCTGTCTGTCTTCGTTTTTTCTACAAATTAGACAGAGACAGACACATGATTTAACTGTCAGATAGCTTACTAAGAAACAATTGGCCATAAGTTGCGTTACACTTTTCAAACAGAAACTGACCCATTTTACCCATCGTTCTTTATTCGCCCAATAGGATCGCGCGCTCGGCGAAATGGAAATCGGACGGTCGCACTTGGCGACGTGTTTGCCGCACCGCTGCTAAATGCGGCCCGCATCGAATCGAATTTCACTTTTTTAGCGTTAACGAGCTTCGCGTTCGACGGGACGAGAATCCCGAGCGACCGAGCGGGCATTGAACGCTAACGCGGAACGTCCGAACGCCAAACGTGACCCCCTCGTCTCGCTGACGATCGGAATTATTTCGATTACACACACCGCGCGCGCGGACACTCGCTCCGGGAGTTTCGCTCGTCGCCGTTAAGAGAGAGAGAAGATCTGAACGGAGGATCTCTCTCTGTCTGACGCGAATTGTCGTCGGTCGTTTGTATGGATACGCACCGGCGAACATTTGCTTGGCGTTCGGCGTCGCGCGTGTTTCGGATCCGGCGAGTATGCGGATCGTCGTTTCCTCAGAGAGAGAAGGGGGGG